GACGTCTTGGTTGAAGAACTGGTACAGAAGTAGATTTGCCGTCAGGAATTAGGTATCGGCAAATTGACCCAGAGACGTCTTGGTTGGAGAACTGATGAACTCAGTTTTTTAGCTGGACGGCGCTTGTCGTCAGGAATTGGTAAAGCTGAGATGTCTTCAAAGAGAACTTGACGACGCTGGACGACACTCGATTGGCACTCGACGTGGAAGTAAATTTGGAACTGAATGTCTTTTTGGGCGATTCCAGCCCTTTTCATAGGATTGGAAATCAAAGGGGCGTTTTGACAGTTGAATTGGAACGACATTTTGGTAATAAATAATTTCGTCTAATGCACGTGAAGCATAGGAATCAAATAAAATCTTCGGTCAGCGTGCATTGACTTGTTTCTCGGGGTGGTCAGCACCAACTAGATGAATTTGATTATCATTCCTTCGTTTTACAACTTTTTTATTAATTGGGCTTAGTGTCTTATATAGGCCAAGTGAGACGGCGAGAGGTCCCTCTAATTCGATCAGTCCGTCGCTCGCCTCACTTTAGTTGGGTAACCTGTCGCAGGTGTCTGTGTCTCTCTCTCTTTTCGTTGCTGTCGTGTATTTTGTTGCATCACCTCTTCCTCGCGCTCATTTGGGTATTGACGGCTAAAGATGGCCTCGTTTCACTTCTTATGAAGACCACCTTCTCCGTATGGGGAGTTTTACCATTTTTTAATTGTCACGAGCGGCTGTTGGCCATATGTCGACCTGCTGGCATTTTGTTTCCACCTTTTACTCCTCCTTTTATTGAAACAAATGGAAAATTTTGCGTTTTCCTTTAAATATTCATATTAGCTGCGGCATCCGCAACACAAGGCTTTGATTAACTTTATTGTATTAAGTTGTTTTTGTGAAGAATTGGAATACAGAATATCATTTCACCAAAGTCCCGTGAATAACCATTTTCAACCACCTCTCCCCATTGGTATTTCAGGCCCTCCCTCTGACTATTGACTACTCCCCGTACAAATCATTATTTTCTAGAGAATTCCTGATCATCCTGCCTCAACTAGAAATTAATATATGTTAATCTACCGGCCAAGGTCACAATTAGTAACGATTCATTATGGTTTGCCTTTTGAAATACAAACACACTATCAAGGGTTACTTATATCACTCCAAATGAAATTGCTGTGTAATTTTTTCGTACACTACGATTTTCTAAACCATACTACGAACTAGCCTTGTTTTTTTTCCTACCTAATCCAAAATTCTATCCAACAATTTTCTGTGATGTGCAGGGTATTTCCTTGGGATAATTCCCTCAGGCAAATTCACCCTTCCGACCATGTCTCGCACTCAAAAATGAACTGTAAGGGAGAGCTAATGAAACTGGCCCCCAAGGACTTAGCGTCCATCAGAGCCTCAGCCTTAGTGTATGATTGGTAGAGTCGGAGTGGCCCACCTGGATAAATCCCATTTTTTTTTCCAGCTTTTCCAGGCCCAATGTTGCCATCACTCGCGACTCGGAGCACGTCGTTTTCCGATATACTTACCCGGAAAACGTTTTCAAGCCTTCCTCATGCTGGCGGATATTGCGAACCATGGTCATACTCTCATGCAACTCTGCCGGAATTCTTGTGGACCTGGGACGCCAAGAAACTGATTCACTAGAAGGGGATCTCTTTACATCCCCCTTACGATCGCCCCTGCTCTCATCCGCCCCCTATCACGTTCCGTCAGCGACAGTGGCTCCACTGTCCATAACTTCTCAAGATGGCAGCGTATTTGGGGTTACACACCGTCACCTCTTTCTTTCGGGTTCAGATCACCCTCGAAAATATAAGGTCGTCACCATGCTCTTTGAAGCGAGACATGAGATGTCATAGGAAGTGCAGAAGCATCTCCCAATGTGCCCCCCCATGATTCGCATCACTCGGCCGTGGTATCCCTTCTGTGCTAAGTATATTTCAGCTCTGCTAATTGCAGCAACCGAGCAGTCTTACGGTCACTCTAGTCGATACCTCGTGCTCCACTGCCCGAATACTCTTGGGCCGTTGTTCCCCTAGTTTGAGTATCTCTATGGCGGCATTGGATTAACCGTGCTACGGCCAATCAAGCTGACGGCGTTCCGGGTGCGCCAGTCTTCTCATCCGGCTGTTGGTCATTGTCATAAAGAAACAAAAAACAGAAAAGAATTCAATTGTTTCTATTCGATGAATTCGTTTCTCTATTTTTAGCAAGAAATCCCGCACAGAAAGTTTTCTACCGGGGAATGTTCATTTAGAGCAATTTTTTTCTGGAATTTTGTTTCGGGAAAACTTTTGTGTGCGGAAAATAGTTCGGGAACTAAAAACAACAGATATCCTGCCTATTATGAGCGCTTAGGTAGGATTATCGATAATTATGCAGATAATCAGATATATTATTGAGGGATGGATGTAAATTAATTGCTAACGGTGAATTGACGATAGCATAGTACAAACAAGTACGTAATGAGTTTTTTGGCTCGTGGGAGGGTTTTAATTCGAGCCGAAGATGAGTTTCGCAATCTGACGAGTTAAAAATTCCATAATCATTGGGCCCGTAATCCGCGATTTTACCGAGTGAAACGATGTTAGAATCGTGGGATTACAGGCTCTGACATAAGTAAATCTGTAAATCATTAGCATTTAAAAGATTTTACGGGAAATATTTCTGGAAAATATTCTTCATCAAACACTTTCCGAGCAATTTACGAAAACATATTCTGGAAACTTGATAAATTATTCGAAAAAATGAACCTTTGATGGGATTCTCTAACAGTACAGTCCTATAAACAGGAATTGCGTGCCGTCTTGTTACTCATTCAATCTTCTGATTGATGTTTAAGGTTTGGTTGAAGCACACAGAGATGGAAAAATAGCGAGTCTTATCGGTGTGGAAGGTGGTCATTCCCTCGGCAATTCGCTCGGAGTACTCAGAACATTTTACGGACTTGGAGCACGTTACTTAACGCTGACGCATGCCTGCGATACATCGTGGTAAGTCAATTATGAAAATCGTTAGAATATAAATTACCCCCAGATTTCATTACAAGAAATTAAGGAATTCATAATTCATGGAGAGGTGGCAAATGATAATAAGTGGATTATTTCAATCTTATCAAGTGACGTGTATTTATTGTAACGTGGTATTTAACCAGTTACTATTTCTCACCCGGTTCGCGTTATTCAGAGGACTTCCACCAGACTGGAACCCACTTCCAATAGCGAGAATCTCTGGAGAGAAGAGAAATAAGGTGTTAATTCTTTTTTGATTTTTTATTATTGAATCAAATTTACGCGCCACTGCGTTTCTTCTGAGGACATCATCGAGGATCTTCAAGGAGCCATAATATGTCGTTAGATTCCATTACTGATTGGCAATTAGTGAAAAAATAGGACCGAACTAATTCAGAAGATTTACTATTCTCTCATGGTAGTTTTGAACATAGGAAATCACTTATATTATTTTAGGCGGTGCCGAGAGTTATTATAAGTTTTTTTATGAACAGGGAAATTAATGTAAAGCATGGCCGAATCTGATAACGCAGCGTGACTAATTGCCCGTACCTGTTTCGCATATCTAACTGTTTCGGATTGGCGAATGATGACGTTGTCATCTCCAATCATAATTTCTGCCACCTTTACTACCAGCTGCCTTGCGTTCACGTGCCTTCGGTGGGTCATCCCGTCTGATGGGCTTGTGAAGCAGACTTGAGCTCAAAATTCTGATAATGAACGCTTATTTAGGTTCTGACCTTGACCAGTGAATAACTTGAATTAATTCCCAGCGAGGGCTACGGTAATTTATATTACCAGGAAAAACAGGGGGAAAACTGTTGGCACTAAGGGAAGGCCTGAAATGAAAGAAAAGAGGGTTTATAGGGGGAAATGATTCGCTCGGGAAAATATGTCTATTTCCCTATGTTCGGCGAATACAAAAAAAAATACAGATGAAAATAAAAAAAAGTACATTATTCCGGCCTTTTAAGATTAACCTAGGGAAGGGGGAAAGGCCAACCAACTTGCGGCAACACGGCTAATAAAAGAGTTCAACTAAATGTAAAAAAAAAGAAATGAAACAAAAGGGGAAAACTCGAGTATGAATACGTAAAGAAAAAAAGAAAAAAACAGAAGGGGAGAAATGAGGGGACCTATAATAGATAATTAATAGGGGGAATTTCTCGTTGACACTTAATTATCACAAAAAGTAAATGGCAAGATAAAATTACAGAGAGGCTCACCGTTGGAGGGAAAAGGATACACGGGGCAGGCTATTATCGTTAGGATAGGGCGATAGCGTGAGGGTACTCACGATGATAGCGGCCACACGACTTAGCAACTCCTGTCACCGAGGATTTATTTCTCACTGTCTGTTTTTTACTCCTCTAATTCTTCTCCACGCCTTTCTCCTTCCTTTGTTTACTCCTGGATCCTCTTTCCAAATCCTCCACACTTATCGTCACACTCTCACAGCTAACTTCTCAAAACATCTCAATCCTTTCCTAAAACACGTGGTAACTCCGGGGCAGCTGTATTTCGAGTAATAGCTGCCACTCGTCCTCGTTTCTTCTTCCCCGATTATCGTCGATAATCCGGGTTAATCGGGGATACTCGTTATTGAGTGCCCTCGTCTGAATTATTCATCTTTGTGGGCTCGTCATATGATGTCTTCCTCTTCCGGGGTCACGTGGACATTGACGTTGCGATGGGGGGTTTTGGTCCTCGCTCACCGCGCTGCGTGTGGCGGCGAGTGGAACGGCGGGCGGGAAGGGGAGGGGGGGGGGGGGTGTTTCTCCTTGTTGCTAGCGACGTCGTTGATGGTCGTGAGTGTAGAGGCGAGGGAAGCGCGGGGCAAAGGGAAGGAATATGTTGGGAGTGGGAGCCAACAGTGACAGGTTTCCTAACCTGTTGCCGTGTTTTTCTTAATACTACTTAATTCTAGCATATTCTAAGAAAAATAATGTATAAATTAGGGGGTTGGGGAGCGGCAAAAGAAGTGCCTCGTCACAAGGTATGAAAGACACCATCCTCATCAATTTGGTTCTTTTGGGATTTTTGAAGGAGAATTTGGAATTCTGTGTGAGCTCTCATGAGTTAAAAATTGAAAATGTGTAATTTTTTTCACCATGACATTTTCATTTATTTTGAAAACAGACGTTACAAATAACATTTAAAAACCGGCTGTTTGATTCCAGAGGCAAGGAAAAAATTCCACAATGTCATGTTCCAGTGGTCCCGCAATAATTTATTCAAGAGGTGAAATTGATTGGAGCAAAAATGTTAATTAAAGAAAACTAAAAAAAAAATTATTTTCAAACAATATTCTTTTTTTATATTCAGAATCAAGATCAGCCGGTAAAAACTGAACTGTTTGCTATTTTTTTTTAAGATTATTCGGTAAGATCGTTGCTGGACCAAAAATTTAAAAAGCAAGTTAAATGATATCAACAGTTGGGGGAGATGAACTTTAAGAGTAGTTTTATGTTTATTTCAATGAGTAATAGTTATTTTCATATTCAGAAAAGTTTTCGTCCATGTGTGGATTTTTTAATTACTTTTTATATTAATGGTGGCGGCTATATTGTCCATTTTACCATTTGGCAGAGGCGTCATGGGATGCTACTGTCCCCACTATGATCGTACTCGGACCCTTATAATTGGCATGGTTATAAACTTTATTGGTTTCCTAACCCGAGTTTATGACTCTGCTCCGACCTACCTGGAGGTTGCCCATACCTGAATTAGACGATATTGATTTCCCATCTTTAAATTGCATGTTCAGTAACGCTTAGTTGATTCAAGGGCATTTTATTTATTTATGTTTTTATTGTATTGAGACATTTTATCGTTCATTCATTTCTTCATTTCATCTATCCTAGTTGCATCCGCGTTCAGCTTTGATACGATGTTAAGGTCCGGTTGGAAGGATTTTCACCCAACATGTCCCTCGAAAATTCGTCAGAAAAAACGTGTTTTACGGAGACATGAATGCCACCCCCGTAGATCCCTTAAAAATATGATTTTGGGATCAATAAATAGATAATAATTCTTGGCAGGCCGGTAGTTAGGACTCAGGGGTAGGAAAGGGAGATATACACGTGTAATTACGTACCAAGAATCCCCCTAGGTTTTAGCAAGGCCAATTCCCCAATAATCGTTTAGTAAGAAATATGGCGGCTGAATAACTCCAACAAAAAACATTCACCACATTTTACACATCCACCTTCCACTCGTGACAATCTATTACCGGCCCGTGATAATTATAGTATTTTTCGCGATCTTCCCTGCAACGATTAGCTGCAATGGACGCCCGTAATTTATATCCGCGAGAACGAAGTGATCAACTGTTATTTTTCGCGACACTGAAATCCGGTATCTGGCGGATGCATAGCATGGCCTCTCAAATTGGGAGAGGCAAAAATGAGTTTCTCTGGCAGAAAAGGTCAGAAAAGTACCAAGGAGGAGCACTTTGGGGGGAATAATTTCAGGATTTCTTATGTATGCGAATAAATAAAAATGGGAGGGTAAAATGATAATTTGAGGGTGAGATAAGTGCGTAGAGCGTTAGTGCGAGGGTGAAACTAGGGTTGACAATGGGATGAATGCGTTGATGCAAAAGGGTTGCGTTGAAGCGGGGTTTTATGAAAAAGCGGGGAGTTCTAGAGAGAAGTGAAGGAGGGGGAGGAATGGGCAAGCATTTGCACTGGGAAAAACGGGGGGGTTTAGGGTAAAATCATACAAAACACCTCAAGCAGGTATATATGGATCGATTCAGGGAATAATTTTCAGTCAGCTCGACTTCTAAAATTATACCCTATTTTTTCACCCTCACTACCCCATTTCGATGATGGTCGCCAGGACGAAAAAACAATCAGTGTACAGATATATATAAATTGATTTAGGAGGTAATTCTGTGTCGATCTGTTCCAATAAATATCGGTCAAATTTTTTCAATGGTGGGATGAGCGTATCAGGATGAAATAGCAGTTGATGGTGGGCTGAGTTTATGGAGAAAATGAAGGGTTGATGCTTGCATGAGTGTGTCAGGGTCAAATGACGGTTGATAATGGGATGAGTGCATAGAAAAATATAAGGGATTGAGGCTGATTTGGAAAAGAAAATCAAACGTTCCGTGCAAATATGACGAAAAACGCCGTTTTCCTATCCAGAAAAATCCTTCGGTAATAAAAACTCTCCTTCCGCAATTTTGAACATACAGATATGATCCACATGTGCATACATCCTCTTTGACACCATCCCCATTTACATGTAAGTTTGTTTTGTGAAATAACTCGAAAATATCAGTACAAAATGAAAGGCAAAATAATCGAGGCCCGAACGCAACCCCACTTTGATATATCGCTCTGGTTTGCTGCTATTTCTATAATTATTGTAAGCGTTATTCCTGGAATAAAACGAAAAGGTGGGAAAGCATAAAATTGCTATTAAAAAGAAAATTACAGGTACAGATCGGCTCAGAATCGCCCCCTAGATCAATTCTACATACACTTGTAGAGAGATTTTTCATTGACCGTGTCAGGCATCTTGCAAATGAAGTAGTGGGGGTGTGAAAGCGGGGTTAAAATTTATAGGTACCATTAGACTCCGAATTATCCTTCTAATTGATCTATACATACAGACAGTTTTTATGATCCAGTCGTCCATTTTGGAAATGGGTTAATAAGGGTGGAAGAATGGGGTTGAAAGTTATTGATACCGATCGACTCAGAATCAAACTCCAAATCGATCTACATACATTGGTAGAGACCTTTTTTTTTATGACCCCGTCGGCCACCTTCGAAGTGGGGTTGTGAGACTAGAAGCATGGGGATGACATACTTATCTCTACCTAAAATGGTTATTTTTTTTGATGCACTTATTCCATCGTCAACTCCCATTTGACGCTGACATACTGATCCCACAATCAACCCCCATTTCACCCTAACATACTCATCCCAGCCTCAACCCCCATTTTACCCTGATACACTCATCCCAGCCTCC